GAAACAAAATTCGACCATCATGCTACGAACATACGTTCCTAAAACGTTCTATTGTGAATTGGGTGAAAGTTTGCAGACCAGATCATCAGTTGTACTTTCAAAAATTCATGCACACTTCTTCCCTCTCATTCATTGCAATCCCCTCCATGTAACATCGCTTATTCCAGGTCCTTGCATTCCTCCTCCTCCTCTGACCCTTCTCAACTTCGTCCCTGGTTGAATTCTGCCCTTTTGCTCTCATACGGTTGCTTATTCTAAAGTGTGGTACTTCATTAATGTCATTGTTTCCCTCAGAGACTTGTCTGTTTTTGAACGCTTATTAAAGCTTATTATTTAGGAAAGTGTTGCCTCCACCTTTAACAAATGTTTTCACTGTGGCTTTACACTGTGTGACACAAAATGATCAATAAAATGTAACAATAAAATATTTTAGAATGTTCACAGTCAAATGATGTGCTTCAACTGAGCAGATTTAGCTTGAGAAAACACAGGATCACAATCAAAATAGAGCTAGAAGTATGCAGCTATTAAAAAATAATGCACAAAAACATTTAACACTGATATCTAATATATATATATACATGTATGTATATATATAGATAAAGAGAATTATCAATTGCCTCATATGCATGTGAAAGTTGGACAATGAATAAGGAAGACCAAAGAAGAATTGAAACATTTGATTTATGGATTGTAAGCAGTGAACTGCAAGAAGAGTAAATGTTTCCGATTCAGAAGAAGTGGAGCTAGAATGCTCTTTAGAATTGAGGACGACAAGAATTTATCTCATGTACTTTGGGAATGCTACTAAGAAAAACAGTCACTAGAAAAGGACATCATGCTTGGTAAAGACGAAGATCAGCAAAAAGGAGGAAGACCCTCGGAGCGATGGATGGACACAGTGGCTGCAGCAAACGTAACAATTGTGAAGCAGGAGCAGGACTGGGCAGTATTTCCCATTTAGAGCGACATTTAGAATTCCTATGAATGGAAACAGACTTGAGGACACCTAACGATTTGTTTGACTCTTAAAAGCTGCTTTTGACAGGTTCATTTCACTAAAAAACACTTGTTATAGTGCTTTTAGTGAAATGCAAGCAGGAGAAACAGATTTGAGAAGGACAGAGTATCATATATTTAGGCAAAATTCATAAATGGCCTTCAATTCTAAATTCAGTATAAAAAATTATTACAAGCATCAGTAAAAATGAATTTTTGGTTTTACTCTTTGCAGTTTTACTTGACTCTTAATAGTTTCACATTATATCATATGTATAATGTTTTCAAATGTTCAGTGTGAATAATAGACAGTCACTGTAATTAACACCTATACATTTTGTTCCTTTTTTATTATTTCACTTGTATCACCTAATATATTCTTAGTAATTGTGTAAACTAGTATTCATTTGCTATTGATAGCAGAAATAAAATCTGGCTAAATTTAGCAAAACGAATTTACTAGAAATATACCAGGAGCTCACAAAATCATTGTGAAGCAGGAGAAACAGATTTGAGAAGGACAATCAAGGCAGACCTGGGGCTCAAAATAATTGTCTATAGTAGGATATAGTAGAGTATAGCTTTGGAAGTGGCGAGAGACCATAATTCGTGTGTGCACACAATCCAAAGATATGCACACAACATTGTGGTAAATGTTCAAATGGCAAAAAATTACCTTTGATTTTGGAGTACCCATTTGTCTATCCTTGTTAAATCATCATTGGTGGGGAAGATTCCAGCATTTTCATGACATGTAGATGTTTCCATTTGGTATGCTTTTATATTACCAAGCATGGGGAGGGGTCTGTTATTTCTTGCTCTCCGGGTTCTATCAGAATACTTATTAATGTAGTGATCCAGCATGATGGTTTGTAAGATGGTAAGATAATTCGGGTCTTTGCGGACTGCACTGGAGTCCCTGAGTGATGCAAACAAATTCATGTGCTGGACTGTTAACACAAAGACTGGAGGGTTAAATCAACCCAAAAGTATCTTGGGAAAAAGTACTATATTTCTTTTTTGATGGATCTGGGTACAAGGAGATAGGGGAAGATGGGTTGTTTTATTATAGATTTATATTATTCACTTATGAGTGTTTATTAACTGGGTTAATTGTCATTGTAAAACATTTAGTCCTGCAACGTTGGTCAATTTCTCCTTCCTGCGAGGTATAAAATGAGCCATTTCAGAAGTAAGAATTGGGGATTTCACTACCAACTGGACGTAAGAGCCAGGAGAAAAGGGTATCCCTTTGATCCTGAGAGCCTTGAGTGTGGAATTGCTTAAGCCAGGAGACAGAGCGGAATAGTAAGTTAGTAGCAGAGACAGGAGAATCAAGAGCACAAGACACAGCAGAGGGCTTCCTGGCCTATTCAGTGAACAAACCTGAGGTTTGCTTATAGACAAGTGTTTCCAGACACTTCAGTGGTGGAGGAAGAGGCTTGTGACAGAGTAGTGCAATCTCTGGGCAGTACCAGACACGAAAAAACTCAGAAAGTTTACTCCAAGATATTACTTGGGAGTGTGTTTAGTAAAACAAAATGATCCAGGGTAAGTTTCATCTTGGAAGTGATGGTTTAGATTCTTAAATTTCTTCAGAAATCATTATGGGAGTAAATGGTCGGCACTCCACTGCCACACGACAGGCTGACATTTCAAACCCACCCAGCAGCGCAGCTAAAGAAAGGTCTGACAACCATTAAGATTACAGCCAAGAAAACACTATGGAGCAGTGCTTGCTTGTAACAGCGGTTCTCAACCTGTGGGTCGTGACCCCTTTGGGGGTTGAACGACCCTTTCACAGGGGTCGCCCTCAGGTGGCATCCGATTCATAACAGTAGCAAAATTACAGTTAAAAAGTAGCAATAAAGATACTTTTATGTTTGGGGGGTCACCACTACATGAGGAACTGTATTAAAAGGTCATGGCCTCAGGAAGGTTGGGAACCACTGCTGTAACACATGAGTCAAAATTGATTCAATAGCAACTGGTTTGGGTTTTTATTTTATTTTTAAATTTTATTTTATTTTACATTAAATAGTTGACTCCCACTGGAAGAAAAGCATTTTCTTCTTTTAGGACCTGACATAACAAGCAAGCAATAGCCTTTTATCCAGATCAAATATCAGAAGAGAGGGCTCTGGATCTGGTTAGAATAGTTGTGGTTGTTAGGTGCCTTTGACTCATAATGGCACTAGCTAAGCATGACAGAACAAAATGCTGCCTGATCCCACCCCAAGCCCAGACTAATGGTTATGCTCGAGCCCATTGCAATAGTGCTCAAAATATCCGTTTCATCACCGCTCTCCTCCCTTCTGAGCGGTGGGCAGGTATGAAAGAGAAGTAAGAACACTGACACGGGACAAAGGAACTTTTCTCCATCTTGTCATGTGCTACATTATTTCCAAAGGTATTTTTGAGCATATGAACAGACAATCCCTGCATTGGCCTTGGGAATTCAGAGACAAGTGAGACCCCATCTCTTCCTTCAACAAGCTTACAACTTTAAGAGGCCAACGCATGTAAACCAACCCTGTATGGTGATGCTGATGTAGTAAAGGAGAGAGACTCATATGAGATTAAGTCTTTGTGATGAAAGGTGGGAGTCTTCAGAGTTTTCAGAAGGCCCTGCCTGGGTCTCCAGGTCAAGATGCACTTGAAGCTGGCATCCTCAGGCTATAAAGACCAATCAGGTTCCTATTTTGTTTAAGATCATTTGAGCCAGTTCTTTGTTGCTGTTGTTGTTGTTTCTTATAAACAAAGTTCTCTTAAAAAATGGCCTAGCTCTAGGTAACCTTATATTAAGCAGCAGGAGAAAGAGAATTAGATAAATAATTGCCAGTGAGAACTAGCAAGCAAGAATCTCGAATGAGAACGAAGAGAGCCTGGAATCCACAGATCTTTAAGGCAGAAAAAGCAGCAGATATTGGAACAGAATTCACACAGGTCATAGCGAGTTGTATTAAGGTGATGCTGAAAACTGGGAAATAAGCCCATAAGAATATAATTGGCCTTCCTGATGTGGGTGTGGGTTGGGGGGGACAGTAGAGGGAGCAGGTAGCCACAGCAATCAATTGAATGAATATTGCAAATGGACGTCGTTGAAATAATTTAGTAATTGGCTGCAGCAAATTAGATGTTGCGATGAAAATGCAGTTATTGTTGTTATGCTGGTACTCCAAATAGAATTGACTTATGCTTAATTGAGTGGCTTGTGGAAGCAATATTGCAGGCTCCCTCCCCTGCAATGCGTGACAGTAAGCGGTGAATAAAAACCTCCCTTCCCAGCACATCCGTGTTTGAGGAGTAATAAGCAGCAAGCTTCACTCTCTTGCACCCTAGCTGTGTGAGAGCCTGAGCAAGAAGGCTCACTTTCCTACCCTTACACGGGAGAGACAGGCTGAAATGATGGGCTAAGATGAGCAGGATGACATTTAGTAGGTAGAAATCTAAAATCCTGAGCTTCGGGTAAAAGTTCAAACGGAATAAGGAGGTTACATCAAAGAGACCTCGCGTTTTCAGCCAACCACAACTCAAAATGGAGCTGTCTGTGAGGAGCTTGGAGAAAGTCTTGGTATTGGGCAGGGAGTGGATGGTTCTGGCTGCCATCCAGGCGGAGAAAGGAGGAAATGGGTGACTTCTATGACTGGACAAAGTGACAACAGATCCTAGCGAGGTCAGGGATGTCAAATTAAGCGTGTTTCCGTCCGTCCTGTGGACAACAGGGACGTGTTAGGAAACACCGAGCCTGCGAGCCCAGGAAGGGAACGACGCAGGGGGCCAAATTCCCAGGCCCCAGGATGAGGTGCACTACCGCAGAGTTCTGCCTTCAAAGCAAGCCCCGCCCCCACGCCGCCCCAACCAGAGTCCGGTTAGCCTGGCCCCGCCCTCGCCCCGCCCCCGTTCCCCTGGAGACGCGCGCCGCGTCCCTTCTCGCCGCCGGGGGAGGAAGTAGGTCACGCTAGAACAGCCAGGGGAGCAGCCGGCAGAGAGGCGCCCAGCACCTGACGCCAGCGGGGGGCACTGCGTCCGACCGGAGCCCCGGAGTTGTCCCCCAGGTTGTCCACCGAGGTTCGTGAAGTGGGCGGGGGGACGGAAGTAGGGGCAGGATTTCCTAGGAGAGGCGAACTGTGCTTCCAAGCAGAATCCCTCCCTTTCCGGGTCCCCTACAGCTCCTTCTGGGCTGGTCCACGGACCCCTGTTTTCAACCTTAGCAATCGAAGTGCCTGGCCTTCCCCAAAAGGAAACAAAAAAGGAGGGAAAGCACTCTTCTCGGGCCCGTGGCACTTGAGCCTAAGAAGCCAGTACAAAAATGTACTCACCCACCATTGAGTCATTGGCTATTCATAGTGACCTTATAGGACAGGGTAGAACTGCCCCCTGTGAGTTTCCCAAACTGTAATTCTTGACAGGAGTAGAAAGCCCCTCTTTCTCCCAACAGAGAGGCCGGTGTTTCCAAACTGAGATCTTGAGGTTAGCACTACGCCATCAGGTCTCCTGGGCAATTGAACAGGTGTTAAAAGAAGTATTGTATACTGTTTATCCTGGTGTCGAATTCAGTAGGAACAGAAAGGGAACTGAAATGCTGCCAATTTTGTTGAGGATAACGTCAGCTGACTCCCTCTCTCATAAATTTGAGAGATTAAAAAAAAAACAGGAAACCAAATTCAATGCTATCAAGTCAATTCCAACTCATAGTGACGCCAGTGGACATAGTGGACATATCGCTGTGCATTTTTGAGGCTGTACATCTTTATGGCAGCAGCAAGCTGCATCTTTCTCCTGTGGACTGGCTAGGAGGTCTGAACTGCTGACCTTAGGGGTTAGCAGCCCCATGTGTAGTCCACTACTAACTAGCTGCCCCAAATGTCACTTTGGTATTGAAATACGTAAATATGTATACATATGTCAGATGTATTGGAATCTCATTAATAATTAGTTTCCCTGTAGGTTCTATAAGATTTTAAAAATTCATCTAAACATATAGTTCTTATTTGGGAAG